AGGTAGGAGCCAGCACCGCTTCCCTTGGCAGTTGGTTCCAGATCCTAGCCGCCCTAACTGTGAAGTAGTTCTTGGGCTATCAGGTTTTATGAAAGGTTTTGATAGATCATATACATACTTTTGTAGATATAGTCTTGTATATCTTTCCACATCTACAATCTGAGTCTACAGTATCAATTCTTTCAGCACTGTTCACAGCCCATTGTGCCATGGGCATGGCCAATTAATATGCTAATAAGAGATGGATTACAATGAGAAAGTTAGCAGTACCTACCATTTTGGAAGGTGCTGCAAGTTTGAGTTGTCATCCTTAGAAGATATTACCTTCAGCTATTAGATGCTGAACTACCTTCCTGAACTGAGAACCTGTGAATACTAGTCTTTTGAGTTCTTGGATCCATATATTTGCTGCTTGGGAACAGATTGGATTTTTTTTTTCCTATAATGAAGCATTTGATTTATTTTTAGTCAAGGTTTGATACGTTTTGTTAGTAGGGATAATTTATGCAATATATGTTATTTTAAAACATTATAATCTAAATTCTGTAGGACTTCTAGAGTTCTGCAAAAAGATAAATAAGCTTAATATAGTGCAGAGAACAGGGGAGAAGGAGAAATTAAAGTGGGCATGAAAGAGATGGTTGATTGTTCTGTGTAGCCTGGCTAATTTGAACAGTAGAGGAAATCCCATTCCTCAAGATGGTTGAATGAATCACAGGTAAAATAATTTAAAAGTAGGAAAGATATCTCTTGAATATTTCAGAATTATCGACTCATTACCTTATCACTTATGCCTTACCAATGTCATGATTTTGGTGAGCCTGTCTCAGAATCTTTTAGGCTAAGGACAGACATTCAAAAAGCCTGAGCCTGAATTGATTCAATCTTTGCAGGTTAGTCTAACCTAGCCAGGCTGAACCAGTTTGCAACTGTAGAGACATTCCCTCTGGAGTAAGGAAATGCAGGCATATGCAGGCACAGCTGAGGGGGGGAGTGCTAGAGCAGCCCTCCCTTCCTTTCTATACTGCTGAGCTGAGGGAGGCGTGGCCAGGCCCCAGCAGAGCTCCACCCTGCGTGCACTGTCCCAGGCTTTTCCCTGCTCACTGCTCAAGGGGAGGGAGTGTTGCCAGACCGCAACCACAAGCTAGCACTCTGAGGTGAAGGGGGGTGTGCAGTGTATGCATCTGTTGATGATACTGGGCTTTTCAATTTCCCTCTCCCTGCTTCTTCATACTATCTGGAAACCTGACAGGTGAGGGAGCCAGCAGAGAGCTGATAACATAGCGTTTAGCAGCCTATCAAGAAAACAAAAGCCTCTCTCACTAGTTCAGGCTCTTTGTGAACAGCTTTTTCCAAGGAAGGAACAGAGGGACATTACCAGCTGAGTTGTTGATTAGCTCCAAAAAGCCCAAAGTGGACACTGTTCTTCCTGATTTTGTCCTGTCTGCCTTTCTCCTGTCCCAGTAAAATTGGAGACACACACATGCAGACACCTCTCAGCATTAGCTAGCACACCACATGCCTAGGGTCTGTGGGGTTCAGGTCTGTCCTGTGGGAGGGAAGGGAGGATCCCTGCTTGAGCGGTGAGCAGCGAGGAGGGTTAGAGCAGGAGGAAGCTAGGCAGACCCTGCTGTGCCTGCAGTCTCCACTGGAGCTCTGGCAAGGGAGGAGAGGGGCAAGTCCAGCCCTGCTCTCTGGAACACAGAGCACAGTTCAGACTAGGACTGCAAAGCATCTGGGATGCTGGGGGACTGTGGTTTAACCTAAACAGGAAGGGGTCTGGGACAGAAATTGCATAAATTGGTTTGACCCAAATCAGTTAAGTCTGATACTACATTCAACCAGGTTTATCTTAAACCAGTTTCAGCCATTTTGAAACTTACTTATGTGCACTGAACTTATGTTCTGTTACAGGTTTAAACCAGTTTCTGATCACTTAAACTTGTTTATGTGTAATGTCTGTCCCTAGGCTTAATGTTTTCATTTGGTTCATCTCTTCTTCCAACACATATTCATATTAGAGACTCACTTTAGCCAATGAATTAAAATCCCACTTCCTATTCATTCGTGTGTGTGTGTTTGCCAGGGAGAAGAGGAGGGAACAGGAAAGATATTTAGACTATTTTTATTAGGAAAAAAACCTTAAAAACAAAGGTTGAAAGTATACATGGCCTCACAGATTGTTCATGAAAGCATTCAACAATCAAACTTGCACCATAACCAAGGACTGAAACACTCCCAACATCCTTCATGCGGCCATACTTTTAGGACTACCCAGCCATCTTCCACCATGCTGAGTGCCCCTTGATGGCCCAGTGTGACACAAATTGGAAATAGAAGAAGAAAGTGGAAATCTATGGTTTAGAGAGCTAAAAGTGGAGTTTGTTTACATTATTTTTGAACTCTGCAATTGTTAGCTGTAGAGGTGAAGCTGAGGAAATTTTATGGGAGGTCACTTGTTATTAACTTAAATCTTAAATAGTTCTGCTGGGTAGCCAGGATGCATTGCAGTCTGGAGGTGGCCTAAACAACAAAGTCAGTGATATTGATTGATATACATGCTCAAATGTCCCCAAAAATTGTTAAAAACATTAGCATAAATCCCCTTGTGTGTGTGGTAAGGACTAGAAATCTGCAGTGTTCAACCACAATTTTTTCTGTATATTTTTGCCATGTTCTTTCATTCTTTAAAAATAATAATATGTGCATTGATGTATATTTAACATATATTCAATTGCAGGTGGTTTGCTTGCTTTTAAAGGAAAGACTATCTATAAAATAAGAGAAGGTGTAATAATAATAATAATATTTGATCTGCTGATTAATTAAATACACACATATAAATTTACATAGCTGTATGCTCTCAATTTAAATGTAACTACAGTAGGTATTTACTGCTTAGAAAATAATCTCCTAAATAAGTTGTACTAATCTGACTTCATGTTTTGATTTACATTGCAACTTTGAGAGAGAAATAATATAGCCTTCAAAAACTTACAACTTGGAACCAACTATTCAGCTGGCAGCTGCTAAGTTAGGCTAATGTTTATATTGACCTCAGTACTTTTACTCCAAGCATTATGTTGTTAGCTGTTCTAAGTAGCCTTGAACTATGAAGATAGGGTTAGTCTTTACAAGTCACATTTTCTGTGAAGTGGCTATTGGGGACAATCTTTGCTGTCAGATAAATGTTTCTAAAGGAAGAATTGCTGTTTAAATTGATGTGCCTTCGCAGCAGAATAGGAGCCCTCCCTTCTGTTAATTTCAGGATGGATCTCTGTAGTATTATCTAAAGAAAGCGAAAAAGTCTTTCAGATTTATTTTAAACAGCACTTATTTAGAGGCATCTTTTTCAAGGAAAAAACAGGAGAAAAAGGCTACAAAGAATGAGGACTGGTTTATTATGCCTTTTATGGCCTATTAATTTGTTACCATCTATTCAGCTTTGTTGATGAAATTTTAATTTTGCCCTTGCTTGAGCATATTGTAAGATTTGTATAAACTGCAGCTCACTGTGCTGACAAAAAGACCCTTTTTAGGATGAACAATTGGGAGCTCATTTTATTTCTAAGGGACATTTAAAATAACTTATGAATGAGAGTTGTCAGACATGAAATGCTGTATTAATTAAATCTTTTTCTAGTCTTTTTGCTTCTCCTGCTAAACCAACCCTTTAGAAAAAAAATACATGGCCACCTTAATTATATAGGAGAAGACAAAAAGTATCCTTCACATTCCTTCGCCTGAATAAGAATAAGAACTCAATTCATCTAAATAGTAACCCCATTAGCTGCTTAACTCAACAGTGTACATGGGAAAATTTTCAACACAGAATGTAAGAAAGTGTTGATTGGGTGGATCGTTTTCAAGGTTTTGTTCTTCTGATGTTCAAAATGATAATTTTAAGTAAATCTGATCTGTCAGGGTTAGCAGCTTTGTACCATTTATGACTTATGACAAAAGTGGTGTGTTCACGTACATTCTAATGCTGTCTTTGTCTTTTAAAATACAGAAACAATACCATTCCAAAATAGATGACTTGATTGAGGAAACTGTTAAAGAAATTATTTCACTTCTTGTTTCAAAGGTAAACATGCTTAGATTTTGAATTATAGTAACATTATAAATGCATTTCAGATTATGGATTTTCAGCTTGCAGCTGGTAAATTAGACTAATGTTTATATTGAATATATTTATATTGTTAAATAGAATGCAATTCCTTTTGTATTTTTTTGTAATGCAATTGAAAAAAGGCTTGTAAAGAATACTTGCCGAAGTTAACATGAATTTTTACAGAATGAAATTGGCAGGGTACCCATTTTTATTGTATTTGCTTATCGGATATGTTTCGCCTTTGTACATTACTACATCCGATGAATTTTTGGCAGCCAGTAGCACAAGCACCACCTTTATTAATTATGTGATTTTCATACTTATTTTTTGAGCATGAAGAAAACTTTCTCTCCATTTTTAAAACGGTATTTACATCAGTAATTACAACAGTATTTAAAGAAAGGAAAATCTGAATAGCTATTTTTACTTTTTCTTTATGAACTATTTTGATTTTTAAAATATTCAGGAAGCAGTTACCTCTTGGAATTGGCTATTTTTTAAATGTATTTTAAAAAGATTTTGTCATACTGTAAATACTAAGAGGATGTTTATTAAGTGAAGCAAAATGAATGGGTATTAGTATGTCTTTATCCAGTTGGAATCACAGATGCATAGAAAAATAAAAACGCATAGTTTTAAAAATAGTAAACAACAAACATAGCTTTTAAACTATAATTTTCTGCTTTCAAGTACAGTCTCAGTGTACTATTAAACGTAATGTGTTCAACCCCAGAAATATCTGCATTTCAGAAATAAGAGAAAATGTTTGTATTTACTGGATACATGAATTAATGAAGGTGCCAATGAAGAATGCTGTATTTAAGGTTATATTCAAGTTTCCACTATGCCTTTTATTCATTTGTTCACAGATTTTTCAAAAATTCTGTTTTTACTAATATTCCCCATACTTGGGCTTATGCCAAAGGTGGACTTTTCATAGAAGTTTGAGCAAAACATGTCTAAACTTTTTAAAACTATGAAGTCACAAAAATACATATACATCTTCTTTTGTGCACATATTAGTGACAAATGACTAAGATGTACAAGTTTGAAGCATTACATGAAGCTAATCCTCACTTAGACTAATATTGTATCTAAATTTCTGTGTATATATGTAAATGAAATAAAATGCTACTAAATGTAAGCTTCTTTAATTAGAATGCATGTAATATTTGAAGCTGTGGATAAAGATAGTCATATTTGTAATGGGCATATGCAAGGAAATTTCTGAAAACAGTACATGATCAAAACTAAGTTAGTTCTTAATCAGTAATCACTGATACTAGTACAGGAATATAAACTAGGAAAGGGGAGAGCCAGTTGTTTTTGTGATTGGTTAAGCTTTCAAGTAAATGGTCAGTCTTTTCAGACTGAAATATTAATAGCTTATATGAGCAGTGCTTGTTTTTTTTTTCCACTGCAAGGAATAGTTTGAAGTGCAAAATAAAGTTGGTGTTTCACTTGTGTTCTCAGTCAGCAAGAATCAAGAGTTGTGTTTTATAGTATCAATATATTTTTATTTATGGCATTCAAAGAGAATATTATATTATTACACTATTTTTGTGCTCTTGCAATTTATTATGACTTTTTCCTTATTCTCACTGTTTCTTTCCAGAATAAAGCTTTTGTTATTTGCTTTTAACCATAGCAATTCCCTATGGAAATTAAAAGGATACTCATACTCTTTATTTCAGTGACATTTTGTGTACTCACTGCTAACTTAACAAATATTATTTCCTGTTTCAGAATATTAAACCAGTCACTTGAACAAGACACAATAATAAAGCACTATGATACTTGTCTTACTGTGACAAACTGAGAAGATCTGAAAATGTAGAGTATACCCAGAAGTACTTACATAGTCCCTCAGGACTATGTAGAGACATCACAGGAAACAGCTAAAGATACACTAACTAGCTCCATCAGAAGCTTTGTATTTAACTAGATTTGCTAGGGATTTTTTTTCTTTTTTATGTTCTCATATTATTCAAGATGTTGTAACCATTATCACAGTACCATTTCTGAAACCATTCAGTACTGCAGCAGGCCTTTCCAGAGTAATATTGACTAATGTTTTGCAGAAATAATTATTTTGAATAAGATAAACGTTGTTAGATGAAGGCTGTGATGTCTGAGCAATGATTGCTGTATAGCATGTAGTGGCAAAGCATCCCATCTAAGGTAGGAACCTTGATTATACCCAGAGCAGAGCAAAGCACCAACTACTATCCCTTCAGGAAGCTCCCTGTTCATTTTTTTTAAATCTGTGTACAGCTCTTGGATGCTATCATGATAATAAATCATTATAAATGTGAAGGATTAGATCAGATGAGGTTGATAGATAAGTGAGGAGTACAGTTGTACACACAGTCTTGCTCCTTGAACTGTTAGGAGCAGGGTTTATAATGTGATGATCTCAGCTCCTCTTGGGGAGAAGGTAAGGTGACACTGTTGTGACACTGTTACAGTGCCCATTAACAGCATGCCAGATGGAATTTTGTCCTGTCCTCACACTCATAAAATGCTGCTTCTTGATTCTGGGAAGGAGTGCATAGGCAGCAAACAGTTACTTTTTAAACATTCTTTATGTATGTCATGAGGAAGTTCACCTGTGAGCAGTATGTACATGGGCAGTAATTGGCAGCTTTTTTAAATTGCATATGATCTCCTAAATGCGATACAAACTAAATATTATAAGTGGAGGTGTTAGAGGGCTTTTTTGTTTCCTTATTTTTAATTGAGTTGGAAGAGTGGGGTTGGTGAGTTTTACAAAAGGTTAAGGATCTAGCTGGACTCTAGAGGTGCCTTCCAACTGTACTTTTCTGTAATGCTTTGATCCCATTTGTGCATCTGCAAGAACTGTGCTTAGTGCCAAAACTCAGCAGTAGTTGGCAAAGATGGGTCCACCCTACCTTTACATCATCCTGATTCAGGAATGATACCACTCAGAGAATAAGCACATTTATGTCTTTCTGCTCCCAAAGCAGATCAAAGGGCATGTAGACCAAAGAGCCAGGGCCTGATGTTTTCTGATCCCTAGTAGGCTCTTCAGAAGCAGTTCGGTAACTTTCCTTAGAGCTGTGCCAGCATAGTCCATGGGATTAACTCACAAACCAGTGATATCAGTGTTAGTAATTTCATCTCCATTTTAAACATAAGAACAATTTCTAATATCAGGGTGAATTCAGTAACTGCAATCCATCCTCATTTTCCATCACTATGATATTGAGAAAAAGGTTTTCCAGTGGGTGTATTAGTGCAAGTCAGATGACTGTAAACAAGTATACATATGCAAATTTTTGTGATGCATTATGAAATTTTAGTGTATAAAAATATGTGTATCACTATACAAGTGATACTTATATTATTTAAACCACACATTCTGGAGGTGGCATGAGCTAGCTTGCCATTTTCTGGAGGGTTTTTGCATTTTGATTTAGTTTGGGTTTCTATTTCTCAGTTGTCTGCAGCAGTTGTAGGCAGTGACTTCTGTCAGTTTTGTCTCTGCTGATCAGGAGAAAAGAAATGTTTCCCATGATTTAGCTCTTTAGGAGGTAAAGAGGTCAGGTTTGTACAGACTCCTGTGCTCTGTTACACAATGCAAGCCAAAAGAGGAAGGATTCATTTCCCACTCAGAAAAGCTATTTTTGACACTATTCACGTATATATATGTTTATACTCGGTTTTTTGTTTATTCTGTTTTGTTTTTAGTTTGTTTCAGTATTAGAAAGTGTGCTGTCTAAATTATCACGGTATGATGAAGGCACTTTCTTCTCATCGATCCTTTCATTCACTGTAAGTATAAGAAATTTTGACCAACTATTGATTCTAAAACTACACGTAATCCCAGTGGTTCCCATTTACACTATTTCTTACTTTTACATTTCCTAAAGGTGAAAGCGGCTGCAAAATATGTTGATGTACCTGTAAGTATGACTTCTAGTTCATTTTTCCCTAATATTAAGAGTAATGCAATGCACAAATAAATATTGCTTCCTTGTTTTGCATTTTTCACTGTTGTCACTTTGCTTTCCTACAGAGGTTCATTATACTGTTACACAAAGTATTTAAACAGCCACCACAACCCTTAGAGGGCATTTCATTTCCCTCAAGCAACAGCTAAGTCTCAAAGCAAAGCTTAGAAAGGTTATTCTTAATGCACTTTTTCAGTTGTGGGAGGAAAGAGGATTGTAACCTAGGAACCTTATCATAAGGGACATTTCATCATTTGGATATATTATTCAGATGTGTAGGATTAGTAACACTTCGGCAATTGGATAATATACATACAGGCAGTGTCTTTAGCTATCCACCATTCATAATTCTCTACTTAAGATTCAGTCCTTCTGCCTTTACCCTGTGTGGTGTGCGGCCCCTGTGGCATGTGACCCACACAGTGTGCAACCTAGGGCCCACAAGCAATGAGACATGTTGCCCCTGGCCACTCTGAATTTGGACAGCCCTGAAAAAGGTCAGTACCTCAACAAAAATAAATGGCACCCATTCTCTCACAAGGCTTTTCATTGCCACCTCTCCAGCAGAATTGTAGAATAATCTTTGCTGGTAAATATAGTGATAAAATGTGATGAATTTAATAATATTGAAATACCTCTTCTAATACAGTCTTTCTTAATTGATGCAACAAGAAACATGAAATACAATTTATTATGAAAAATAATACATTATCTTATATAGGAGCTAGAAATCCATTTCTCAGTTTTATACCCTAGAAATTTGATATCTGTGAGGTTTCACTGGCTCCGTAATAAAAATCCAAAGGCCCTCAATAAAATTAAAATCCTTACCAGGTTTGTAGAACTCTGTTATGTTGTTACATTATCTTTGTCTTATTTTTCTCTCCAACTTTCACAACGCAAAGCTGTTTATGAAATTTCCTTCTTAATATTTTTGGTCTTTTGTCTTTGGTTAGGTACTTTTTTCCTTTTACCAAATCATAATAATCACTGTTTTATCAGAAACTTTCCACCTGTCCTCCTTTCAAAGCAATGGGTTCAATTTGGCAGTATTTTTTTGTCAGGGGATTTTCTCAAAAGCCCTTGGGAAAGGCATTTCAGACACCAAGACAAACACCAGTGGAAAAAATTATTTTTTAAATTAATAGAGTTCTGCCAGTTCACATGAAAAGCACTCCCATTTTGCATGGAAAAGAGGTTTCAGAAGCTCTTATCATTAGCCCAAGTCTGCTGCCACAAACGCTTTGTCTGGGTAATGTAAGATGGAGGGGACATTTCATCAGACTAGGTGAAACATTTTCCCCAGAAGGTAGGTGTTGACAAGACAAAGCTTGGTTAAAAAAAATGCCTTCCTCACCTCTACCACGTTGGATTGTATACGATTTCAGGGTGAGCCAAGAATTGGGATGCATTGCACCCAGAAAAGAGGGAGGAGGTGAGGTAAAGAATACTAGAATTCAGAAGCCTAAGATCTGTCGTCATAATTTGAGGCCAGTGCCCAGTACGACTAAAGGCTGAACATGCGAGCTCTCAGTCAGCTACAGTTTTAGCTGATGGACATTGTGCCTGTAAGAAGAGGCCTGAAGTCTTCACAGATTTAGGTGCAGCTTGGAATCAGAATTGGATGGAGTCCTAGCAGGGTAGTCTGAGAGGCCAACTTTGGGATACTGGTTATATCATGAAAGCCCTGTAAGCCTTCCTTAGACCTTGTTAAATGTCTAATGTGTGAGGTGGGTGTACATTGACAAAATAAAGATGTGGCCTGGCCAAAATCTGTACCTCCATCTTCCTTCCAGTGACCTGAATTTCCTGAGCAAACATTCATTGACTCCAAGACCATGTGAGTGTTGTCAAAGGACTGCTGCACTAAGAGAGCCTTCACCTCCAGGCTCCAAGGAAAATATGTTCCTCTTCATCTGACAAAATGTCCCCTCTCTCTTGTATTACCCAGACAGAGCATTTATCATCACCTTCAACTTCAGTGGCAGAAGACTTGGGCCAATGACAAGGGCTTTTGAGATCTCGTTTCCTTATATATACTAGAAAAATGGGAGTGCTTTTCATGTGAACTGGCAGAGTTCTGTAAATTCACAAAACATATCCCACCCACTCCATGTACACTGCGCCCTGAAACGGACCTAGTGTAGCTGCCTGAGTCCAGTGCAGGACATGCATCATTATGCATTCAAGAGAGAGAGCCTTCATTTGCCCAGTGAGGCACTAAGGCAGCAGGTGACATTGTGTTTGTTTTCTGTCTTAGTGCATGTGGAGCAAGTGTGTTGTGCTTCTGCCTCGTGTGATTCTTTGATGCCCCTTTGGATTAGTGTGACCTAATACTGAAAGCTTGTGAAAATCCTCCTTTTTTGCCATGTGAGGCTGTGTGAGTCACTGCTGCTTTTAGTTTGATACTGCTTCAAATATGTGATAAATTCCATTTTGTCTGATGGTCAAATTCTGAACCCACCCAAATTCACAGGGAAACAAAGATATATGGGAACCAATGTTGTTCCAAGTAGGGCTTGAGATTTCATGCTGAGGTATGTACAGTTCCACCCATCCAGATGTGGGCCACTGCTCCAAAGATCTGATTCACAAATGATCTCCCAAAGAGCAGGAACAACAAGGTTGTGATCAACAGGTCCCAAACTTTTCTCGTGTTAGCTGCACTTAGATAATTTCATACATGCTGTCACCAGTGTTCATGTTCTCACAATTAGAGAGGGGTGGATTTACCATGATTCATCTGCTTCACAGTAACTGCCTCTAGTACCTGCTCTTACCCTACAGTGACAGCGAAGGCAAGGAAGCTTACCCCTGATGAAACAGGGATAAGTTTCCCTGATTTAGCTTTCACTTACTGCAGGGGTGTTGCAAGGTGGAGGTACACTGTAGCGGAGGCTACCTTTGTGCTCCAGCCATGCCCCCTCCACTCCCATTACACTACTGACTTACTGCATGATAGAAGCCAACACACACACAGTTAATGCACCTCACCTGACACGGTAAATCTTCCACCCTGCATGCAAACACCCTGTGGCAAACAGAAACTAAACCACAGAAACTTAACCCCTTTTTATATAGTGGCAAGCTGCCTTCATCTAGCTCACACCACAGGGTGAGAGCAGGCAAAGGAACAACTACTGCAGAGCACCTGAGGTATTATAAGTCCCAACCCATTAATTAAAAGGGAACCAGAACTTACCAGGACAGAAGTAACCATTCATGTACCTGCACTTAAGAGGGAGCAGGACTTAATTGACCCTCAGCAGCTCTGTACTAATGGTCAGTCTTCCACTCTAACCCCATGGTGACGGCTAAATCAAGGCAGTTACTCCTAAATGAAACTGAGCTAAATTTTTCTGGTTTAGCTTTCACTTACCTTGGGGCAATTGTGAGTACAGGCACAGTTATCATGGAGCAGCTAAAGAGCAGAATATTTCTGCCACCTCTTAAGGCACACTGGTTAATTGTGGGTTTAAGGGAATTACAGACTCTGAGACTCACAGCCCCACTCACAAGTACTGTGATCCTGCTTGGTGCCATGACTCTTTAGCTTGGGAATGGCTGATCTAGATGTAGCTGCACAGCAAAACATAAATCTCCAGTTTTCTTTTCATGGACACCACAGGAACCACCTCTGAGCAAAAATGTAACTGCAAGAATAATATGAAGAGCTCAGAATGGTAGCTTTAGTTTCCGCAGTACCTGTAAAAGCACTGCATCAGGAAAATTGAAATATAAAGAGAAAATAGTGGGAAATGGAGGACATTTAAAAACTGCCCTGGATGTATTGTGTAGTTTACCAGCAGTGAGTCCTGGCCTGATTAACTCCAAGAAGTGTGGCAGGCTAAGAAAGCCAACGGGGAAGCAGTTGTAATTTTCTTGTTAGGTATTGTTTCATGAAATAAAATGAATTGGTTCTCCCTACCAATTAATAACGCTTCATTCTGTTCTCTCTTTCATATTTTCATAGTATAGGAAGATGTACGGGGACATGGTGAGGAGGGTTAGATGCTAAGCAATATTGCTTTTTAGCCACATAACACTTACTTGAGATTTGTTGTAGCTAACTGTTAAGTGGAGCAGACTTAAAGTGTTTTAATTTTATACCAATGCCAAACCAGGCTCTGAAAACACAGGGGCTTTGCACAAGAAAATATAGTATTTGGGTCTAGAGTAGGAAGATCTTTGCCATCTATGCTATCATGATGATGTTCACCAGGTTCAGAATAGCAATATAACTCCTTAACCACACCAACAGCTGACCTTTTGAACATTACAGGTGTGTGGCCCGTTTTGGAAATTCCATGCATTGAAAATATTCTGTGCTTTCTGTAGCTTAAAAAAGAAAAAGGGAGTATTTTAGGGCCAAGTTTGCTTTGAAAATGCAAAATTAATCACAAGGCCCCAATTCAGGAAAGCAGCTTCCTTGTTCTGGACAGCTCTTAAGCACGCCCTCTTTTTGACCATAACGTCAAGTATCTCTGTAGTCAAGGATCCTATTATGAATAGAGGCTGAGACTTGAATGTCTGTCATACCTTTTTTTTTCCTAAAAATCATGAGTTTATTCCTGGGCATGTATGTATTCATCTGTGCCAGACTTTTGGAAGCTGTGAAACTAATGGTTGTGGGTTTCCTAGTTTTACGTGTGATGTGGGAACCACAGGCATTCAGAGCAGTTTTGGTATTGTGTTGCCCAGGCTTAATTTGTGTCCATCCTGTTCTTTATTAAAATAAGTGGGAAATAGACTATTTAAATCCACAAAAGAAAAATTTTTTAAAATATCATATGTGAATGAATAGACTGAGGCAGACAGGAGAGAGAAAGTGATAAGTAATAAGGGACCAATTAAGGAGAGAATAATCATAGAATAGTCCATTTTGCTTACTTTTTTATATTCCTTGATTTTGATAGCATCCTGCATTGCTGTACGTATGGGGGAAGAATCAG